TTTTACAGAAATTATTTGAGCAAAAAAATATCCTTCCCGGTATACTTGAGTACATGGAGTCTGTAAAGTCAGAAAATCGTTGCATGGTGAATGTCATCAAGGGTGAACGTTGGAAAAAGAATGGATGCCATTTAAGTGGTAGGGTAATGTTGCCTCTTTTTCTCTTCAACGATTGCATAGAAGTGGGAAATGCGTTAGGGGGGCATTCTGGGGTTCGGAAAGTGAATGCAACATATTGCACTATTCCAACCTTTTTACCAGAAGTCAAATCTTCTTTGAGTCACATCTTCGTAACGCTTTTAACTAAGTCTTCTAATTTGAAAAAATTTGGCAATAGTAAAATTTTCAAACCTGTCAAAGAAGACCTTGACAAGCTCTACACTGAAGGAATTATCACCAAATTACCGAATGGTAAAGTTATCAATGTTTATTTTCAGCTTATTACCTTGATTGGTGATAATTTAGGTCTTAATTGTATTGGAGGCTTCTCTCAAAAATTTTCCACAAGTAAACATTTCTGTCGTATTTGCAAAGCAAGTAAACATGAAGTTAAAGAGCTTGTAACAGAATCTGAACGTCTCTCCTTCGCACTGTTCAAAATTATCGGTGTGATCTGATGAAAAATAATTCTACCAACACTGGTATTAAAGAAAGATGTACTCTTAATGATCTTCCTAACTTCCACATCATTCTTTCCTGTGCAGTCGATCCAATGCACGATATCTATGAGGGTGTTGCTCAGTATGATTTATGCTTCTTGATTAAACATTACATCTACACTAAAAAAATTTTTTTCCCTCACTGACTTTAATGATAAAGTTCAATGTTTTAATTATGGGTCTGCAGACATTGGCAATAGGCCCCCATCTCTTCCTGAACAGTTTCATAAAAAGAAGACTTTGAAGATGTCAGCAGCTGAGACTGCATGCCTCGTAAAGTATTTTGGTCTTATCATTGGAGATCTGATTCCTAGAAATGATGAGGTCTGGCAAATTTACATAGCTCTTCGAAAAATTATTGAGATCGCCATGAGCCCCTCGGTAGATAAGGAAGCATGTAGTCTGTTGTCTACTTATATTAGTGAGCATCATAACTTGTATATTAATTTGAAAGGACAGCCTTTAACAGCTAAATTTCACAATGTTGTCCATTATCCGCGGCTTATGTTTTTTTTTGGGCCATTGGCTCTACTTTCAACTGCTAGATTTGACAGCGAACACCGTGTGGCCAAAAGTGTATCCACCTCTGTCGCTTGTAGAAAAAATATATGTTGGACCATAGGTAGAAAAATTCAGTTGCAACTAAGTAGGTTCTTGACAGAAAATTCCTCCCGAACAGCTCTGCGTGTGGGTCCTAATGAAAAATCTACAAGAGTTGAGCGGTTTTTAGAAGAAATCGAAGGCCTTACTTTAACAACACACTATCCTCATATCCTCACAGATGAGCGCACTATCAGGACGACATGGGTGGAAGTAAAAGGCACTCGGTACTGTGTAAATGAAACGCTTTATGTTGCAGTGCATGAAGAAACAAGTTTTCCCATTTTTGGGCTGATTAGAAAAATTTTTGTTAGTCACTCAGGGAAAGTGTATTTTTTGTTGAGAAATTTCCGAACAATTACTTTCGAAGGGCATTACTATGCTTTTGAATTAGAGATTGTTAATTCTTATTCTATGGTTGGTCAAGAACAGCTCCATGACTTTCACCCTCATCAATCGATTCCCAAGATAGGTGTAGATTTGTTTTACGTTTCTATCCTTCAGGATTCTTAATTTGTCTTTCTTGCGACTCTCCAAAAGAGAACTAACAAACTGTCTGTCATGATGAACTTTCTGTAAAATTTTCCTCATACCCAAGAACATCTGCAAAAAATTTCAATGGGTTACTTGGGTCAGTTTTCTAATGAAAAACTTAAATCTAATATAAGATTCTGGAATGGTGCGCAATGAAGGTATGCACATTTTGACTTAAACTATATCAACATATCCTCAAAGCCCTCTTACTTAACCAGTGAGATTTAATCGATTCTGTCAGCCATTTTAACTTAACTTTTTTATAACGCGTTCGAAATTTGTACTTAAAGGTTTTCAACTTTTATCAAATATGAGAAGAAAAATTGAATTAAAAGAAGAGGAAGAAAGACACCCGCAATGTTGAGCACTACTACGACTAGAGGTTGACATTTTTCTGTTGCCTGCTTTTGGGTCCTGTTTTAATTATTTTAAATTAGAAATCTACTTTGACAGTAGCTAGGTTACGTAAAGGGAGCCAGAAATATGTGTGACTGATATAAGGAACTCCCCCGAAATTCAAGATCATACTTTGTGAACAATATGATTATGAAAACCATCACCTTCTTGATTTTTCCCTTTGTTTTCTGTTCCTTTCCTTGCATATTTCCCCCTACTATTTTTAAGGATTTGGTATTCTATTGTTATACACATTATTGAATTGAGTCTATGTACTCATTGTTTTTTTTCTACCTCTTAATTTTTCTAAGTATGTGATACTTTATGGTTGATGTTGTTATGTACTCATTGTTTTTTTTTCTACCTTTTGATTTTTCTAAGTATGTGATACTTAATGGTTGATGTTGACACCTTATTTTCTGAATTATAGGTGATATGACTTTAGGTGCATTCAGAAGTTACTTTAAATTTTATTCTTTTGACTCATTTTATTAGACTTGTACGGTGCATGCCAAATAGAGCCATTTAGAATCCATTCGCCATCCTAGATTATTGTACATTTCATTCTTTGAGCTTCATTTATTTTCTGAAACTTACCTCTAGTATTACTCTACTCTAATTTAAAATTCAATATTCTTACTTTTTTTCCCACCTATTAATTTTTAGGTAGTTCAAATATTAAAGTCTAGAGTGTTCTTCTCATTCATAAGAACCTTTTTCGAAGAGAAAATTACTGTTCAGAAAATTTGATACTATTGATTTAACTTTCAGGCTGTTGCCTAGTGGGAGTTCAACAATTGCTATTTTTCCCTCATACTTGCTCTCTTTGATTTTCTCTAATTCTCTGTTTATATTTATTTTCTTTATTTTATACCTGTTTCATTTTCATTTTTGTTTTATTACTTTTGGCTCATTATGGCTCACTCGTATGGTTCATGCAAAGAAGAGTAGCTTTTTCTCTAGTATGCATATTCCATTATTTGAGCCATTCATTTATTCTCTGAAATTTACCTCTAATATTACTCAACCATTATCTAGTGTTCAGCATTATTACTCTGCTTACCCACGTATTAATTTTCAGTTAGTTAATTATTGAGCTTTGTTGCTCAACTCATATACAAGAACGTTTTTCCTTAGGAGTATTTTTGTTCTGAAAATGTGTTTGTTGATTAAACTTGTGGGCTGTTGCCTAGTGAGAGTTTAACAATTGCTATTTTTCCTCGTGCTTTTCCTCATTGATTCTCACGATTTCTTATATTTTCGTTTTTATTTTATTTTATTCAAGTATATTGTTCCATACATTCTACTTTATGTTTTCTTTGTTTTTTCTTATAAAAACTATATATTTCATTTAAATGGTTTTTATTTTATATATTTTACTTCCATTACTCCTTTAACTCCCTAATCACCAATATTTTGTACATTGCGAATGACGTATGTAAACTTGATATTTATGATAAAAGCAGTCTCATCTGTTGCAGGAGACATACAATGTATTTACATCTCTTATAGATGCTATATTCTAGTGGGTCATAGGTATCTATTATTTGATATGTATCAATAAATTGTTTCTTATTAAAGGTGTTGGGAGATGTTATATGTTTGGATCGAACGCGATACAACGCATGGTATCAAATTAGATCCAAACATTCCCTCCGAATGCTTACAATAAATTGATGTCCTATTGACATCCGATTTCACAGTATATAGCGTCTATTAGTGATGTAGGCACACAGTATGTCTACTCCTGTAACAAATGAGATTGCTTTAAAACCATATCATTAAATATGAAGTTTACAGTTAACGTGCTAATTCATTAATATTAGGATGCTGATCTAGGAAACACTTAAATGCAATCTTAGCAGACTTGGAGTCAGATTAATCAATTTTTTAATGTTATCTGAGCAAGTTAAAATGCTAACCTAACAGACAGAGAGATGCACCCTTAACAATCAATTTGCTGTACAAGCATATAGGGAATGTTAACTTTACAGCATGGTTTCCTGTTTCAACAGATTCAATGACATGAACTTGACAGCGTTGGTTGCTGTTTCAACAAATACAAAGACGTTATCTTGATAGTATGGTTTGCTGTTTCGGCAGGTATGAGTCACTGAGATTGGCAGCGTGAGTAGTTGCTTGAACAGACGTAAGGATGTAAATTTAACGTCGGGGTTTGCTCCTTCAGTAGACAAGAAGATGTAAACTTAACACCCTGCCCGGCTGTTAATTTAGGTCTTAGGGTTGTCGCGCGGATTTTCAACATCCTAAATCTGTAAAGTCAACATCCTTGTTGTTGACCTTGCATTTTTTTCAGTGTAATTTCTCGCCCCATCTGGCAACACTGTAAAATGCGATGTTGCAAAATTTCACCAATAATTAAATCATTTATTTATGTCCACCGTGCGGCAACGCTGCTGCGCCATCTTGAAAAATACACCATTGCATAAACCGCATATTGAAGGGGCTATATTACATCATTGCATAACCCGCATATTGAAGGGGCAACATGCAATACTTTCTTCCTTACATCGTTGCCATATTGAACAATAATTACCATACAACGCTGTATTTTAATTCGTATTTTTCTGCACCATCGTGCAACGCTGTTGGATTTTTTACCTGGCAAAGTCGCCATACTCTCCCTACTTTCAAAATATGGCGATTTTTCCGTTGAAAAATGCTATTTGGGGTTTGGGTACGTTGTTTGGGTTGTGGGGTGCTATTTCTTTGAATTTCTTCGTTTGTAGCTCTGCTAAGAGGATTGCTCTTACAATTGTTCCTGGTTGTTGACAAATAAATACAAAACCCTTGCTAGGATAAATTAAATTAATTTTTGTACTCATGCAATTTTTTACGCTTTTTAAGTGTGATAACATCATGATGACACAAGTAACATGTTCGGTAAAGTCAATAGTACAAGATAACCTATCACGGATAAAACTCCATTCACCAATGCTAATACATCTCGATAATAATGTGCGCATTCTGACATCTGCATCTGCATCTTATCACATTTCCTGCAAAGAAAAAAGCAAAACAGAATTACTTTAAATTCATTAAAATAGTATGATGACGTTAACGGGCGTGCTACATCATATAGACGAGCCAGCAGAAACCTCCTGGAAGTTTTTTTAAGCTTCATTCTTCATAATTTAAGTTCAGCTTTAAAGTCATTCGGGCACAGTAATAGAAAGAATACATGGGTATGGAGTTTGAGTAATTGATGGTAAAAAGCTTTCATGCAGAGGTTTAAAATACATGCAATCTCAGTGGTGACAGCGACATCGATAGGAAAACCTATAGTGACCACATTGCTCGGCATGTAACGTCGCAGACTTCCTACCATGCGTAAATTACTTTTGGTACCTAATTGAACCAAGTAGGATAATAGGTAGAAAAAACTTCTCTGGTCGCTACGGAGCGAACCAACAGAGGGCGCTCGCGCCTTTTAAAGCACACTTTGCGGGGCCCCGTAAGTTAATCTCAACAGAGCGGGCTCAAGCTCATGTATGGACTATCACTTGTCTATAGTCATAATTATCATGGACATCGACCCAAAGGACAGTATATCGAAGTATGACCAAAAATGAAAAACTGGGGACATAAAATGCTTACAGTGATGATAATGAACGTAATTTTTAGGAACTTTCCATGATACCTCTTCTCCATAGTTAAAGCCTGTAGTGAAAGTTTAAAGAGTAAGATAAATGTGGCCTGATACTCTTCAAAAAACAAAGTGAGAACGGCAATTTCATTTAACTTGGTTATCAAACGACGTGGTTTCCAAGTTAAGCCATCGATAAACATGATGCGAAATACCTAACCTCATATAACCAGATTCCATTTTAATCCCTTAATTGAACTCCTTCGTAAATAGGCCCATTTTAAAGGGTGACTTGTTTATAATTTTTGTTTACCTAGACACATGCTGATTACCTACTATCTGAAGGTTGTTGAGCTTGTTACAAAAATGCTATTTAGGACCTTTCCTATATGTACGAGCATTTGAATAAATTGTGTGTCTGACCAACGAGCGCAGGCAAAACAGTCATTATTGAGCACACCATTATTGAATAACCAGAGATTACAATAAATGAACTAATCATTAGAATCTATCAATGATTCACAAGACTATGTGTGATATATCTTGAGGATTTTGGGAGAACACATTAGGTAGGAACTTTGTTAAAGAAGGAAAGTGTTCCCGAATTCTATGTAAAAATTAGCCTCTATCACGTTATGTTTGGCGTTCTATCAGCTCATACAGCGGGCTGCGCATTGGTGTGGGAAAAGGGAAGTGGCAGGGCAGCCTGGCCCCCTCTAGAATTGTAATTGGTATCATCTGCACCCCCTACCCCCAGAAATTTTGTACGGTGGGAAAGGACCTTCTTCGAGGATGATTATCTCTCTTAATGTTGAGTCCTAAATGAAGGCAAAAGGTTCATGCCCGTAGTATTTTCTTCAATTTTCATCATAGAAGCTTCAAAATGCGTCCAAATATGGTAAAAATTTCAAAAATTTTCCAGATGTATTCAATTCAACAATTCGAAAGTATTTCTTGCTGAAAGTAAACAAATTTTTGCTGAACGCAAACAAGTAAAGTATTGCTGAAGTAACAGCGTAATTTTTTTGCAGAAATTGATGGAAAATCTGCGTCACGGAAGTCTCAAAATGCGTTCACAAAGATTTAAAATCTCCAAAATTTCCCGGAGGATGCCACTTAGACCCTACTCTAAACTAGGGGGTGTTCCATAGCTCCCAGACTTCCCGGTGGCCCGCCCCCCTCCCTTTAGCAAAATGACCTAGGTGCGCCTATGGGGTTCCGATAGGCTCATATGGAAAGGGGGAAAACAAAGGCTGGAAGGAGGAAATACGGGAAATTAGAATGAAGCTCTGATATCTTATACTTACAGGAACTCAATTATTACAATCGCCAAACCATTCAAGAGTTTATCTGCAAAAGTAACCAGACTATAAACGAAAGCTCCTCTCTCCGTATTTGGCCCAACCAAATTCGCTGTAATGCACAAACTCACAACTGTTGTTATTGCACTTCCGACTCCTGGAAAAATACATTACACTTACACAGAAGAGCATAAAATTGCAAAAAAATTACTGGGACAAGAAGTAACAAATTTTTCAAAATTTAAAGCATACGCAATAACTTTCCATTAAGTTAGGTACGATGACTCTATCGTGACAGTTGCATTTAATTTCCATTATCCCCGGTTAACATTTTTGTTGAGGCTTTAATTAATGAAATACGTCATTGATGTACCATTTTGTTCAGTGGAACCCATGTAGCACGCAAAGTTGAGAGTTTACTGATGGTAAATTAACGGTTACCAACTGGTCCCAAACTGAATACAAAAAGCACCTTGTTTTGAACGCAAAAACCAGAGTTTTTAAAAATCTAATGGGATTTTAAAACTTATCATTAATAAAAGGATTTTAGAAATTCCTAAAAAAAATTTATGAAAGTCATTATAATGAAATTAGAGAATAGAAAAAGAAAAAAAGGGAGACGAGTTATTAAAATTTACAGAATTTTTTGTACATACAGGGTGTCTTAGGAAAAAGGAGCCACCTTGAATATCTGCCGAACGCGTCGGAATTTCGAAAAACGGTAAAAGACGTGTTCGTTTAAATCGAGGGAGACACCTTTTGGCGTATTTGACATTTTCCCAAACCGCGGGAGGGGCGCAGGGCGGGGGTGCCCCACCCGTAAGTCAAACTTCTCAAATGGCACCCCTACTTTTTTATTTTAGAAATCAATTCTAAGCAAAAAAAACAAGCCACCCTGTCCAAACTGAATGTAAATCGGACAATTTTTCAGTGATTGAAACATTTTTTTCATGCTCTTTTCAAAAAGTTCCCGCGCCCAATAGAATTGCTGTATCAAACCGAACTCTCCGCCAAAAAAATTCTTTAACATTGCACTTTCGATAAAAAAAAAAA